ATGTAAGACAGTTTTGAGCGGTTCGGACAGACTGAGGGCCGGAAGGCGTACCAGTCAGACCGAAGGCTCGGGGAACGGTCCAGACAAGCTGAAGGCCCAGGAGGGCGGACCAGATATGTTGAAGGTTCCGAGAGTGGTCCAGATAGGCTGAAGGCCTGGTAAGGCGGTCCAGTCATGCTGAAGACTCTGTATGTGTTAGTGGATCGGTACGAGGAGAATGAGGAAAATCATCACTAGGGGATGATGATTGATATGGTCTGGCCCCAAGTATTGATCATGTTAGTGGAAAGCAGTGCATGGATCCGAGAGTCCTTGCGATCAAATTAAGGGTATATGGAAGTTCAAGAATAGCAGTTGCTCTACATGGATAATGCAGAGTGAAGTGTAGCTCAGTGACACGTGCAAGAGCAGTAAGGGATGTTGAGTGGATTTCCTAGAAAGGAAAGGCATGTAGCTCCGGAAGGAACGTGGGTACTCCAAGAGGAGGAAGTTGAGTAAGTGGATTATCGACAATGCTTCATCTTTTGGTAGTAAGTACTGGGATTGTACCAGTGGTGTGTAAGCACATCCGGGTTGGGTGTCTGTTGAGGTTGTGGAAGGTTTTCCGATAGTGTAGAACTAGAGTAGTTCGGCGTGGATACAAGGAGAGAGCCTTGGATTTTCCAATATGGTTGTGATCAGGAAGTTATGTATGTAGCGGAAATTCATCCTGGGGATGTCTGGAGGTATCATCAGTGTGTTGGGTTTTCCAGCCCGAGGATGTGGGATCAGGTAAAGCATGTGTATGTGATTGTAAAGGAGAGCTCATGGGAGTTTCTCAGGAGCTGAAGGATTTGTCATCCTGTTAGCTCAGAAAGAAACGAGTTGGATTCGGAAAGGAAAGCAGGATAAGTCCCAGGAGTGAATTCGATAAAGGATATGCCAGTAGAGGAAAGGGGTAGCATCTTGGTACCGGGTCAGGACCCGGTGGTTCAGGGTGATATCTAGCTTGGTAAGGGTCAAGTGATTGTTGTGTTTTGGAGTGATGAAAGTGTCATCGGGTGATCATTGGTTAATAAGGGTTGTTATCAGAGAAAGAGGCTGGTGGCCTGCTTGAATAAGTTGTTGTAACTCTGGGAGGGAAGAGTTGTACTTTATAGAGGTCTGATAGCAGTGTTCGGAGGAACCTAGGTCGGTTGAGACCAGGAGTTGTATTGAGGGAGTGTCATCTGGGATGTGGTGCTGCAGGCTTCGAGGATGAAGCCTAATTTATGTGGGGGAGAATTGTAACATCCCGAGTTCAGAAGTGAAAGTTTAGGGTTCTTAGTGTAAATGAGGAAGGTCGACTCGGCGAGTCGATGGATAGACTCGGCGAGCCGAGTCGTGATTCTGGTCAGGTGTTAAGTGACAGTCTCGGCGACAAGTTGGTGCTGAAGGAAGAAAACCCTAATTTGGGGGTTGTGCCCTGTATAAAGCACCTTATAACTCACCCCAGCCTCTTTAGCACTCCCTTTGACGTACATAATCTTTCCTCATCGATTTCAAACCCTAATTTGAGAGTAAGAATGATCTAAGTGTGTTTTGGAGCTTGGAGAAGAAGGATACTTGAAGCAAGAGTTGGTGGAATCATAGAGGAGTGAAGTGGATCTGATTTCCTTGCTTGTTGGCATCAGATTGAAGGTAAAAAGTTGTTGCCTTGAGCTTGTTGTGCTTAGATTGTTCATGGATGAAGTTTAGGGCCCAATTGTCATATATGAGTCTCTTTTAGAGTATTGGGCTCAGATCTGTGCTTGCTACTACATATCTAGAATGGTCTTGACTCATGAACCTAGGAAGTGATAGCTTTGGGGTTTGATTGAGTGTGTCCTTGCCTTAAACCTCCATTTTAGTTTGATTAGAGCTTGTTGAGCCTTGCATGCACGTAAAGTTGGAAGCTTTACATGTGAATCTGGCCCTAGGAGTCCATATCTATGTATTGGAAGCAATGGAATGGCCTGTGATCGTCTGAATGAAGATATTACGTATTGACTCGGCAAGTCGGGCTTGATATCAGTCTTGAGTTGCATAGTAACTCGACGAGTCACATGGGTAGACTCGGCGAGTTGTATGAAGATGGGCAGGAACTCAACGAGTTGGAAGAACAACTCGGCGATTCTGTTGAATATTGCCTTGGACTCGGCGAGTCTGTTCTTAGACTCGACGAGTATAGTCGTGAAGTCCTAACCACTTTGGTTGAGTTGTGAATTGGTGAGTCGGGGGGGGGGGGGATGACTTGGTGAGTTGAGCAGGAAGGGACTCTGAGTTTGTTGGACTCGACGAGTCTTGGAGCGACTCAGCGAGTTGAGTCATGGCATGAGAGTTTCTGAGCATAGGAACTCGACGAGTCAACGGTTTGACTCGGCGAGTAGGGTAAACCAGGAAGGTTGACTCGACTAAGGACTTTGACTTGGACCGAGGGTTGACCAGTTTGACTTCCAGGGTATGTTGGTAATTAATGGTGTTTATTGGTTTTGGTTATTTGGTAATGATCAGTGGTGGAGTTCGTGCTGGTGGTCGGTGCAGCGTGGTCTTATTTCTTCAAGTTGGCAGTTGCAGGTGAGTTATCCTCACTATATTGACAGGGTCTAAGGATCCTGGTAGTTGTTATGTTATTGCTTTTCTATATGTGCATCCTGGTAGTTAGGATGGTATATGTTAGAGACCTGGTTAAGGTCGGAATCCTGGTATGTAGGATGATGCTATATTAGTGACTGGTTAGGTTGGTATCCTGGTTAGAGTGTGCTATGTATGTGATCTGCTAGATCAGTTGATTAGTAATAAATTGCTATATGATTATATGTTTATGTGCGCATGGTTGGTTGACTGGGGTTAGGTTGAGGCGGGTCCTGCTTTGTGCTGTAGGCCAACATACCCAGGGCAGACCGGATATCCCAAAGGCCCAGCGAGCGGTCCGGATAGGCTGTAGGCCCCACGAGGGCGGACCAGACGTGCTGAGGATCGGAGAGTGGACTAGGCCGACTGAAGGCCCGGTGCGGGCGGACCAGTCATACTGTAGACTCAAAGAGTGGACCAGGTGAGTTGAAGGATCGGTGCGGGCGGACCAACCACATTGCAGACCCGATGTATATGGCTAGACTCAGAGGGTGGATCAGGTGGACTGAAGGCCCAGTGCGGCGGACCAGTCACACAGTAGACCCGAAGTGCATGGTTGTTCTGTTTATGATATGATATGTTATGTGTATGGTATATGTGGTTGGTATTTTGGGGGTAACTCACTAAGCTTTCGGGCTTACAGTTTTTAGTGTATTGTTTCAGGTACTTCAGGAGATCGTGGCAAGGCGAAGGCGTGATCGTACCGCTCCTCGTGTTTTATGTATTTATGATGTGGTTCTGGGAAATACTCTGATAATAAATGAATTGAAAACCTTTTTGTAATGAATTAAAGAATATGGGTTGTTTTTGAAAAGTTTAAATTGGTTGAAAATTTTTGGATGTTACGTTTAAGCATTAAAATTCATTTTTCTTTAAACGGTTAACTAACGATTAGAAGTTAGCATCGTCGAATTAGTAGAAATCATCAACTCTCATATTAAAATTTGAGACCTTCAATCTAAGAGTCAATGTTTCTACCAAGTGGGTTGGACCCACATTGGCCATTCTTGTTTTATTCTTATAAATTTTTCTAAAAAATAATATTAAACAATAACTAAACTACACTAAAAAACAATATCAATATCAATACTAAGATCTATTTTAGTCTACATCCTCAATAATTGAGTTATTTTACTATGAATATGTTTGATAAGGCTAATGGTTAAGTGAAAACTAATAGGTTGAAAGTTGGAAGCCGGTAGCATCATTATTGAAAATATGGAAGTTGAAAATTAGAAATTGAAAGTTGTAGCTTATTTTATTGTAGAGGTGTTACACAAGTTTGTTGAAAGCTTAAATAAAAACTAAAACCAATAAGCTCTAAAAAGCTAAAAGTTCTATAAGAGCATATATGAAATTCTCCATTTATTTAAAATAGAAACTAGAAGCTCGTACTAATGAACATATTTTTTTCTTCAATTCAACTTTTTTAAAAGTTCTAAAAACATACTATCAAACACATCATATATCTAACTGTGTCTACTAGTTCTTCTAGTTTGGGTCAACAAATAAAAAAAATCATTTTTCTAATTTAAAATTATCATGTTCTACTTCATATTAAACATTAGGCATATATGTATGTGTTGCAAATAGTACAAAAATATAATTAATATATTAACATATACATGTTATTAAAAATACCTCTATTGTCATCAGTTTTAAAATTATAATTATTACATTAAGCTTTCATAAAACAATCACTACTAGAAACAGCCCTTTAATGACGCACAAACAATGACACACAGTGATTTACGATACGCAAAAGTGTGCACCCTAAAAATAATGTCATCTCTTCTAAAATTTGAAGGATAGAGGACACGCATTTATGCATGCCCTAAAATTAGTGTCAGAACAAAAAAACATGGAGGGCACCGGTCGTAAAAAGTGTGTCGTCTAAGTATGTGATTTTATAATTTTGATGAAAGGTGCGTTTAAAGTGAAACGAAATCCCTAAAAATTATAAACCCCGCCTGATGCATCTACTCCTTCGTATGTTGTACCCAAGAAACCCTAATAGTATGGCTGCCAATCTTTATCCCTTTCTCCAATTTGTCGCCTTCAAGCTCTCAATTAGGGTTTAGTTTGGCGATTATTTCAATTTCTCTTACACCAAACATCCCAACTCTTCAACCCTAAATCCACCGCTGCTACTACGCCTCCTTTCTCCGGGCTCCACCGCTCTTCGAAGATCGACTCGGCTTCACTCTCCACAACTCAATCATTCTTAAAAAAATTCAATTCGCACATACGTCTCTCCTCTCATTCTACACGACCTTACACCGGCAATGTGACCAATCGCAATGGACAGTACTGAGAAGGTATATACATGCTTTTTCATCTTAGATATTTTTTATGTACTATCAGAACTAATGGTTGATGTAATGGTTATAGGCATCCTTGCGGGTCCCAAAACAAGCATTGTTGATGATGACCAAATAAATCTGGATACAAATAGCCACCTTGGAATGTATCTTCGTCTTTGCTTACTTTCCTTTAATATTTGTCATTTGAGGTATGCTTTTTCTTTCCCCCTTAATTTTATTAAAAAGTACATCTAGTTTATAAACGTTTCTGTTATTCTCATTCTGTACATGTAGGGCGTGTGGCATCTTTTAACAAATATAAAGACATATTACAAAGAAGCATTCTCAAACTGTCCTCCATATAAAATGACTCATTTGGATGATCCTAGTAATGATCCAGAGGCACAATTAGAATATGAAAACATGGATTTATACAAATTTATACTCCAAAACTTTATAGAAGAACTTGAATCAAGTAAAAGGGTTCCTTTTCATAATCATTCATCAAAATCACTCTTTAGTGTAATCGAATGTAAACTTTTTTTATATCATATAATAATACCAAATGGACTAAAGAAACATTTTGTAAATGCATACATTACGGTTTCCAATGGTCAAGGAGTCAAACACAATCACATAAGTCTAGAAGGTAGCCCATATATGAGCTCCCCAACCTCTGCACTACGAAATATTTAATCCTTTGATGTAATCCTACAATGTACAAACTGGCAGATACAAGGATACTTATCAGAGTAAGTAGACTTGATTGAAAAGTAAGTATTTTATAGATTTTATTTTACTAAAAATACTTATTTGAGAGTATCTTGATGTATATATTTGTGTTTTAATAGGATTGGAAGCTCTTTTCCTATGAGTGCTTTTGAATCTGTTTTAAAGCTTCTACAAAAAGTAGCCCTGGAGTTGCATCGTGTATGTTACTTTGTAATTTGTAATATAGATATCCATTTGATCTAATTCAAATATGTAATCCAACAGTCAATCCATTAATTTATGTTAAATTTTTACAGGTCCAATTTTTACGATATCTGAATAGCCTTTACCATGATGATTATCCAGCTGCATTAGAGAATCTTCATCATTATATTGATTATAGGTATCCGTAACACCCAAAACTCAAAATTACAAACTAAACCAATAACCTCTAAATTATTATTATTATTATAACTTTAAAAAAATAGAGTAATTAAAACTCAATTATTGACACTGTAATGTAGGAATGGAGGGATCTGATTTTGTTCCCACATCATTTGATTGTACTAGTAATGGAAGATATGAAATTGCTTTATTATCTTTAGGAATGAAACATTTTTTTTCATCATTTGCAGAGATCTTAACCACACCAATCAGTACATTGTGGGACTAGCTCTTTGTGCTTTGGATAACATTTGTTCTGCAGAAATGGCTCGTGATCTTGCACCTGAAGTTGAAAGATTGCAGCAATTTCGAGATCTAAATATTCGTAAGAAAGTAAGCTGATGTTAACATTCATTTCATTTCATGATCACTCAAGGATGTTTCATCTAATTCTCACATTTTACACTTCATAGAATCATAGTCACACAAGTTCTTACAATTACAGGCAGCATGGGGTTCCATACTTAAAGAAAAGCATCATGGGTTCTTTTAACAGCAATCCAGCTTTGTACAGATCTCTGTAACCTTAATGAAGAGGCTCTTGAATTTTTCAGGAAGGTAAATATAATTGATCTTGTCAAAGATCCTCTATTATTTGTTGGGATTGTCTTCTTCTTGTTCTCTTTCTTTATCTTTTTAATGTGCATTTGTGCTAAGAGTTGTTTGGCATATGATTTTGTAAGGGCAAATTAGTAATTTAGTGATGAGATATATTTTCTTTTTTCTTCCTTTGGTATAGAAATGCATAGAGGTGCTGGTGAAAGTACCTACCTTTTTCCTTTTTAAGGATGGAGGATCAGCCGTGAAGATGCACCTCCTCTATCTTGGTTCTCCTCAACCTAAATGATAAAATGGTTATTTACTCACTCACTCACATTCAGTCCAAAAAAAAAAAGCAATGCAAATCAAAGAACTTATAGTTGAAGAAGGTTGTGCAGGTGTATCTTCCATAGCATTGGTAGTACCATTTAAATGCTGAGAGACAATAGGCATAATCTGGTGTAACAAATTGGATAGAAAAGTTCCTTCATCATTGGCCACTGTTGATGTTGCTGTTGCTTCTTCCTGGGCTATCTGAATAGATTCAACAACATTGGCACCACCCTGACCCTGACCCTGAAAGATGAAGCTGTTACCATGGTTGTGCTGTTCACCAGGAAACAAATTTCTCAACAGTTGATCAAGTCCACTGGAAACCTCTATAGTAGTAGTAGAATGAGTAGAATCTATGTTTTCACCACCATAACCATTGTTGCCATTTCTAGAATCAACAACATTTTGAGCTCTTGTTAGCACTGGTAATAACACACCCATAGAGCTTCGGGAAGATTCAAAATGTGGCACTGAAATCCTAATGGGGACCACCCACACCTTCGATCCCCTACTTTACACCAAATTACTAAGGGCATTTTCGTGATTTGTAACTCCACCATCAACTCCACCACCATTTGTTTCCCTCATCACTGAACCTAAAGAAAGGGCATATAAGAAGTAAATGGAAAGGATGCCCATTAAAATAAGAATATGAGAATAGTGTAAGTAATACATACCTGTACGTATTCTGATCCTAAAGGGATGTCATGTGGAACAACATAGGTGGGAGTATACCAAAAGAGATAGACCAACTTACATCCTTGAAATTCTTGTAACTTCATTTCTTTTTGCCTGTTTAATTAATTAATGAGTGGATATTGAACCATTCAAGGTAATTTGTAATTATGTGCATGCAGGCTCTTAAATGGAAACAATCTAACAAGCTCCTTTCCATAAGAGATTAAGAATCTCCCCAATTTGAACCGCATACAAATCGACCTGAACCACATATCTGCACCAATACCAATCTCATTTTCAAAACTGAATAACACAAAGCACTTATAATTTTATTATTATTTGTTCCTATATTTTTATTTTCTGATTTCTATGTGATAACTATTAGTATTATCATATGTGGGTTTGTAGTCATATGAACAATAATTCACTTAGTGGTCAAATTCCTCCTGAGCTATCTAGATTGCCAAATGTTGTTCACTTGTAAGTTTATTCTTTGAATTTACTCAAGTTTTGACTTTTGTGTGCAATGACATTTGCTGACATGGACGAATGTTGCAGGCTTCTTGACAATAACAACTTATCAGGCTATCTACCTCCTGAGCTCAGTAAGCCACCATACTTGATTATACTGGATGCTTTATTTCCTTACTATAATATTACTTTAAAAAGAATATTGTTGTTTTGGTTGAATCATAAGATCAAGAAGTTCATTGTACTTTCTTTGGTAGTCAATTTGACAACAATCACTTTGAAGGAAGTATACCTTCCTCTTATGGCAACATGCTTCAATTGGCCAAGTTGTAAGTGTGGTTTAAGTTTTAATAAACTTTATTAATGAAGAATTTCAATACATAACACTCTAATCCAAGATTACTTTTGGTGTTGCAGGAGTTTTAGGAATTGCAACTTGCAAGGACCAGTCCCTGATCTTAGCAGGATACCACATCTTACTTATATGTAAGCATGAAATAAATCTTGAATGTTTTGGAGTGAAGTCTTTTTTAAGTTGTTAGTTTGATGACATTTTATATATTTCAGAGACCCAAGTGATAACAATCTTAATGGATCTATACCACCCTTGAATTTTTCTCATAATATCACAACACTGTAAGTTTTACATAGTTTATTCGTGATCTACTTTGTGTCTTTTGTGTTTGGACTTTGGATTCTTATAACTTCATGTGATAAAATTGTGCAACAATCTGTCAAGGAATCAGCTTACTGGAACAATTCCTTCCATCTTTTCAGGCCTTCCTAATCTACAAAGATTGTGAGGATTCTTTGACCTTTCTTTTAGAAAATATAATGGATTGATGTACACATTTATTTGAAACTATTTTCCCGTAGGTCTCTTTCCAACAATTCATCAAATGGCACAATTCCATCCACTATTTGGCAAAATAAGACTTTCAATTTAACCAAAAAACTTATAGTGTAAGACCTCAAACATGAACATCCCTCTCCCTTTTTATCTGCTCTAATTCTTTCTCTGAACTCACATGCCTTGTCTGGTATCTTCCAGGGATGTGAAAAATAATAGGCTTTCAGGCGTTTCAGGAAGCTTTAACCTCCCTCCAAATGTCACCCTTAGGTTCGTTAGTTATCTTGCTAGTTGTATCCATATTCACACAACAAGACTTTCAGAATTTTATGTTTCTAAATTTTCTACAGTCTTCAAGGGAACCCAGCATGCTCGAATGCCAGCTTGGCACAATTCTGTGAAGATGTTGCTATGAGCCCTCTATCACGATATGCACAAGGTAAAGTATTTACACTTGGAAATATCTTTGTTTTAGAAATTTAGCATAACACCTATTGTTGTTCGTGTTGACTACATTCCTTCTCGTGTTGACTTACCTGCTTTAGGCCATGGGAAATATATTAAAAACATAATATCATTTCCACTATGAATATTATTAAACATTTCCACTAATGTGTTGGTAATGACTTATTTTAGAGGCTATTCAGCTCCTGAATATGCAATAAGAGGCCAAATGACAAGGAAAGCAGACATTTACAGTTTTGGTATTTTGCTTTTGGAAATTATTACTGGAAGACCCAATCAAAATAAATGCTTACCAGTTGAAGAACAAAATCTTATTGAAAGGGTATGCAATTTTTTATTTAAATTATAGCAATGTAGTTATATTTATTTATTTATTTTAATATATTTTTTTTCAGGTATGGGAACTATATAGGGAAGGGGAGCTAAAAAAGTTGGTTGACACTTCAATGGAAGATGATGATGATGATTTTGATAAAGATGAAGCTTGTAGGTAGTTAAAAATTAGGTTACTTTGCACCCAAAGTCTTCCAAAAAACATACCATCAATGTCTAATGTGATGATGATGTTAAATGACGAAATGGACCTTGATGAAAAAGATTTATCTGATCCAGGGTTAATTTCAGAGTTAAAAAACTTTAAATCTGATAAAATTACCAACACATCAGGTAACAACACATCATCTAGTAATTCAGGAAAACAGGAGGATAAGGATTCCTCTTTGTATGGACACTCGACATCATCATTCGCCACTATGAGTTTTACCACAATTAATGATCGATGATTCTACAATAGACACCATTTTTCTATCTTTTTATAGTTGTAATTTTTTTGGAAACAAAATTTATTAGTAATTATGACTTTGCCATTAAGACATGCTAAGAATGGTGTAGGATTGTTGTTGTTTTATTTTTATTTTTTATTTTTTGTAGATAAGTATTGTATGTGATGGTATATATGAACCTTTAGTAACATGTCATCAAACAATCTTTTGGTTTGGACTTCTCTAAACAGGGTTATTTTAGGTATTTCATAAGTAATCACATATTCTTTCATTAAATAGGGTGAACTTCATCTTTATTCTTATCCGACATAAATTAATAGTCATTTTATTACATTATTTTCAGGGGTAGAGTTGCAACTGAAAAATGTTCAAGTTGTTGGTGTTTATGGGTGGAGCAGTGAATTTGTTATTATTTCTAATGTGAGACCATGCACGTGCTAATCAGGAGGTACCATCTTCGTCATTCAAAAGTTGTTTGTTGAAATTTATACTGGGGTGCAGGTGATTTTATCTTGAAATTTACACTCAAAACTATTTTTTTCCTTATTTTTCTTGTAAGTTTAGCCTTATTCTTTTCTTCAATTACGTGTTGTTGGAGAGTGTTGTTTGAACAACAATAAATCAATATTTTTTTCCTTCTTTTTCTTGTATGAACAATACATAGTCATAGTTTGACTTAATTAGTTGCTTATTTTTTTATTAGTTGCATGTTTTCTAGCTTATTATAGTAAATGATTGGTTTCTTATTATGCTTAAATCTTAACAGATATCATGGCAACCTTCAACAGTAGATTTGGACCAACACCTTCTTGCAGAAGATATCGTGTACGTGTTCTTGTGCTGCTATTGTGGATTCAGGAACATCCTTTCTTACTGGTCTAACTATATGTATCTCATGTGAAGCTTCTGTTAGAACTATTAATCTTAGGGATTTCAAGTTTTTCATATTTCTTGTATCTAATTAGTTTGTAAATTTCTGTTACAACTTTTATTGATTTGTTTTATCTTTCCATGGAACGATTATTTGTATGACATTAAATTTTATGCAATGGATTGTATTTTTGTATATGATATTTTATTTATTATGAGACATTAAATGCACATTTAATTTGAAAATTAGTAAATCTATAAATAATATTTTTTTTAAAAATATAAAATTACGATACGCAAAAATGTTTGGCATCTTCATTTATGACATGGCCTTTATTGACAGGGGCTTTAATGATACGCAATGTGAGTCATAAATGCGCGTCGTAAGGTTACGATACGCAAATGCATATCATCTTCCTTTATGACAGGGCCTTCCTTGATACACATTGCGTGTCGTAAATGTACGTCGTAAATCGCATGTCGTAACTACGCGTCATAAATGCGCGTCATCTATAGACGACGCGTAAAAGTGTGT